AATCCTAATCTTTTGAAAATTGATAGAGGCATAAGATTAATGCTGGCTCCCAAATCACATAAAGCTCTTCCATAAAATTTTTCACCGATAGCACACGGTATAGTGAAACTGCCAGGATCTTTTGATTTTTTAGGAAGCTTTTCTTGAATAATTGCACTACACTCTTCGCTATGTGCATTAGTTTCAATATCAGTGAACTTCCTTTTCTTGTTCAGAATATCTTTCATAAATTTCACATAATTGGGCATTTGCTCTAAAGCTTCTACGAATGGAATATTTACTGTTAACTTCTTAAAAATTTCTAAAAACTTAAAAAATTGTTTATTTTGCTTGTGTTGCTTCAATCTTTGGGAAAACTGTGGTGGAGGTTTCTCCACAGTAATTTTCATTGGTATAAGTGGATATTCTAAATCTGGGTACTCATGATCCGTTTCTTTGTTGGTATCCACTTTCTCTTTTTCAATTTCCGTTTCTTTTTGTACTCTTGTTTCCAATTCCTTTCCACTTCATAATTGTATCACCTTGATTTGTTCTTTTCCTTGATCTTTAGGATTTGGTTCCACAACTCTAGGAAAAGTTCCTAATGTTCGGTTACTAAGCGCAGTAGAGATATGCCCTAACTGATTTTCAATATTCTTAATAGCAGTTCCTTGATTTTGTAATTGATTTCCTTGATTCTGCAATTGTTGACCCATGTTTAATATCAGCTCTTCCATAGACAATTTCTTTTCCTTGGTTGATAAGAAGGTCTGTAATTAACATTTCCTTGGTTGGATGAATTTCCTAATGGGTTTACTGGGTTGTTTGCCTATTGTTGATTTATAGAAGAATTGTTATTCCAATTGAAATTTGGATGATTTTTCCAACCTGGGTTATAATAGTTCGAATAAGGGTTGTTGGGTCTATTAATAGCATTTAAAGTCTGATATGAAGGTTGAACATCCACAAATTGCCCAGATGAATTCTCTTCCATCATAGGAGGTGTTGGAGAATAATTCATCCCAAAATGATCTAATTTCTTTGATATT